CATGGAGGGGCTGGAGTATGATCCCAGAACTAAGCAAAAGAGGGGCTGGAGTGTGATCCCAAACAGAGCTGAGCAAAGGAGGGACATGAGCATGATCCCAAATGGAGCTGAGCAAATGTACAGCCCATGGAGGGGCTGGAGCGTGATCCCAAATGGAGATGAGCAAAGGAAGGGCTGGAGCGTGATCCCAAATGGAGCCCAGCAAAGGCACACTCCATGGAGGGGCTGGAGCGTGATCCCAAAAGGAACTGAGCAAAGGAGGGACTGGAGCATGATCCCAAACAGCCCAGCAAAGGCACAGCACAGGGAGCAGCCGGGAGAGCCACGCTGGGAGAAAGGATGAAGGAGGGACAGTGAGATTTGTGATCCCCACATCATGCACAAGGCTTTGGAGAGCAGGAGACATCTCCAAAGTGAAGGAGCCAGGTGACACCCACAAGAATCTGCGATTCTTTTTAGGAAGGCCACTCCTTGGCAGTGGTCATGGGGCAGAAGAACCAGCARAGTGAAGTATCTGCCACTGTACAGCACTAATGTCACCCAGCAGAYKYTCCTRGAAAAAGGAAAGGTTCATCACCCARATTTCAGAGCCTTTCATCTGCCTGGAGAACATTTCCCACCATGCTGATAGCAGAAGTTTCTGATCACATCAGTGGACTGTGATGACAGAGATGATGTGGGAAATGCTGTCACCCTCTAGCCAAGCCCTGTGCCTGGCACTTCCTCCTGCCCTTCGACCTTTCATCAACTGAATCATATTTTGGGGGAGTCAGGGATGCAGAATTACCTTCTCAGWCCCTGCAGGCAATCAACTTGCTCCCCGAACCATGAGATATGATTGCCCTTATTACTTTAGCTTGCATAGCAGTGAGCCTTGTTAATGGTCATAAAATTATCCAGTCCTTATTTAAATCCTACAGCCGTCTGTGTTTCAATGACCTCCTGATGGTCTCTGGCTTTGCTCCAGGCTGAAGAAGCATTGGAAGGACCAGAAAGGAAAAAGAAACAGTGGGAGSATTAAAGAAAAGAAAACCAGAAGCACAACAAGCAACAGTCAACAAAGAGCATTCAAAGTGAAACRGGGAATATTAAAGACAGCTCAATCAGTCAGCTGGAGAGTTCAAAAAAACATAACCTGCCATGAAGAGAAGGAAGCAGCATCAGGTAAAATTAGCAACGCTAATAAAACTCATCAGCATTGGAGCCTGGGCCAGGAAACAACACAAGGAAGATGAAGGGGTCGGTAGAGGCTTGATCCCATGTTGGGGAATCTGAAGAAAACTGACACAACCTGAGGGGATGTACTTGGGTGAAGGAGGAATGTGGTTTGGGTGGCGAGCAATGACATTGGCTGCTTCTGWCACCTCCAGCAGCAAGAAGCTGCCTTTGTGCTCCTCAACATACATAGCAGCATTTCCTTTARAGTTTTATTTTTCTTCTGTTTGTTCCTTGTACTTTCTCTGAGGGAAAACAGGGCAGAAAGGAGGCTGGAGATGCAGACACAGCAGGAGAYGGCCGGTCCAGGGCTGGGCTCTGCAGCAGCCCCTGTTGAAGGMTTTGGCCAGGGATCTTTCTACAGCAAAAATCTCCTCTTTCCTTTAGATAAAAGACCACTCCCCTGTCCTTTCAAATAACATCTGCAAACCCCCAGAGTGCCAGAAGATTTTGCAATAATAATCCCCCAAAAGAGAAACAAGAACTGGAAAACCCCCAAGCAGCMCAGAACTGTTTTAATGTAACCAAGCTCCAACACAGATTTCCATCAATTTTGCAGCAAACCTGAGTCATGAAATTAAAAGTAGCATCAGCATATTTCCTATTAGCTACGGTTCCTTTTTCAGAACAGATCATACATTCCTACCCTATTTTTCTAGACACTTGTGTCAATGCGATATCATCAGATGCCGTTCAGTCTTTCCTCTTAGCCTGAAAAAAGCTTTCCTGTTGGGAAGGATGGGATTTTAATATTTAAAAAAGRCTTGGTGAAAAAGCTCTGCTGATTCTTTCTTTATTTATTTATTTAATATCCCTCCCCCTGATCAGAGTGGGTGCGTTTTGTAGCTTTTAAATATCATGCAAGTTTTAGCAACGCYGCTATTAAACCCGAATGTGCTGTCACAGCAGGCAGCGGGGATGTGATTCACACCAGTCCCCCCCAATTCCTGTTAGGAGCTACACTCACCTGGCATCAGACACTGTCATTGTTTTCCCAACATCCCTGAACAGCTGAAARCTCCWACAGAACCAATCCTGYCCTGGCTGTGCTCTATCTCACCCCSAGCAGCACAGCCCCCTGCACTCTGGCATCACCCCCRGGGTTTATTCTGCCCATCAGCCCAGCTCACAGCACTCTGAGCCAATTGTTGGGTTGGGAAATGAGAAGGGCAGGTGTTTCTTCTCAGAAATGAGAAGAGCTGCTCAGTGTTCCCCTGTAGTGAGGGAGGGGAGCAGTGGAGAACCGACAGCAAGGCTGACAGAAATGTTCAGAAATGCTCCTTCCATGCTTCTTCCTTCCCTGTTTCTTCCACCCACCCCCTGCTCTGCTCCTGCCCTTCATTCTCCAGGTACCCACCTCCACCATGGCTCCATGCTYTTCCCCCTCCTCCTTCCCTTCCTCCTCTAGAGTTACACGGAGAAAATCCAAAGCCAACATCTACAAACTCCAAACTTATTGTGGCTCATACCAAAAGATTCCTTCTCAGGCATCACATGCTTCCAGGACAACACAAAAAACAACTCCAAGAGCCAGGAGACACCAAGCAGGAGCAGAAGGCTCCAGGGTCAGAGATGTGCCCAGAGCTCTGCTGCCTGCATGGACCATCCAGCAGCACCCACAGCTCTGTGCCCTTTTGGGGTTTGTAGATGCACACAGATGGACAGGGCTGGTTTGCAGAGGAGCAGGGACTCACGTTTGGGGTTGTAGATGCACACAGATGGTCAGGGCTGGTTTGCAGAGGAGCAGGGACTCACGTTTGGGGTTGTAGATGCACACAGATGGACAGGGCTGGTTTGCAGAGGAGCAGGGACTCACTTTTGGGGTTGTAGATGCACACAGATGGACAGGGCTGGTTTGCAGAGGAGCAGGGACTCATGTTTGGGGTTTGTAGATGCACACAGATGGACAGGGCTGGTTTGCAGAGCAGTGGGGACTCATGAGAAGTTTGAGTGAAGGGAGCTTCAGGCAGTAAACAAGACGGTGCTCACACACACAAACACACCCCTGCAGCCCAGCACCAATAAATCACATTTTACAGCCCACAGCACATAAACCCAGCGAGCACACACACGCTTGTGAGCGCTCCCACCTCTCCCCTCCAACCAACTGGGTATTTATTACCCACCTCCCAAGATTTTCTAAAAGGATTTTCCAAAAACAGGGATGGAGCTTTGTCAATGATGAGCTGAATGGTGACAACTGGGATTTCTGTTTGCACTGCCCTGGGGGCTGCACCCATGGAGGGGGATGCAGAGGGTGGGGAACATGGTGGCAGCACCTTTGATGGGCTGCAGAGCCCATGCAGCTCATAAAGGAAGAGCAATCACTGTGAATTCAGTGTCAGTTATTCCTTGCAGCTCCCTCCTGGCTCAGACAAGCAGGATAATGACAGTGGCAGAGATGGGAGCTGSTGTGGTGTCAGGTACAGCCACAGGKTTGGGGCTTCATCCTGAATTCAGTGTTGGAACCAGAAACTCCAGAGTCCCAGAGTCTCTCCTCCGTGTCCCACAGGTGTCCCCTAAGTGGTTTTGCAATGATCACACCCTCCCCATGAACAACTCCCAGGCTTCCCTGGGTGAGCCTTAGACAAGTCAAACTTCCCAAAAGTGCCCCGAGCACGATGCCAGGAGCAGGGCAGGGATGCTGCTGGCCAAAGCAGGACACTCACCCAGCAGCTCCCCAAGCCACGGATGGGTGCTGCCCCACGCCAGCACCCCGAGCCAAGCACCCATCCTCACCACACACCCCTCCCAGCCTGCTGCTGCACTAAACTAAGCTGAACAAATCAGTTTTGCTGGGGGAGCAGAGCARTAATTCATGTCTCCTCCCCACCAGAGGCATCTCGAAGCCTACTGTGTGTTCTCTCCCAACTTTATTATCCCTTCACTCTCGGGAGGCAACTTTCCAACAGGCTCAACACGTTTTTTTCCCTTGTCGCTCTCCAGCATCGCTTCTCGCCTCACCTGTGTTTTGCTAAGATAGAGGGTTTATTGTAAACTTATTAATTACTTCATTTCTCCCGCAAGGAGCCAGGAGAAAAAAATTTTCCACGGCAGCCAGGATCTGCTATTGTGTTGGCGGCGAAGCTGAATGCGGCTGACGTCACGATTCATTTTCCCCATGACTGGGGAAGGCGACTCTCCGTGCCACGCCGTGCATATGAATCAGGCAGCCTTCCCCTGGCACAGCATGCCAGGCAATTCATCTTCCACCAGGGCTTCTTGGAGCAAAAGAGAAAAAATGACAAATTTTCGCTGCTGTGGTTCCCGGCAGAGGGGAGTGTTGGGGAGATTTGGGGCTGTGGTCTCACCAGAGCTCATTTTTGTTCGCTCCAGCTCTGATCAAGGGGTTGAGAGTGGATGTTTGCCATGGCTGTGGACACATCAAGAGGTCTCCAAGTGAGTCCAGCAAGCCTGGCCAACCCTGCAGTCACKGCAAGTATCTCAGGTAACTTTTGAGCCTGCTCAGTGCTGCCTCCTCTCCAAGCTCAGGGAGTGTGTTGGTGAAATCAGCAGGAAATCAATATACATAGAAGTTTATAAAAAAACTGATTTAGTTTAATGCAACGGGGATTGGAACTAGATTATCTCTRAGGTCCCTYCCAACCCAAACCACTGATAATTCTTTAATTCTTTAATGAGATTTGCCTGGAAAAACAGAAATGATGATGTCTTCCCTTGTACCAGCATCAGACCATCGATGGAMAATTCATGATCATCCTCTACACGTGGGAGAGTGCAGCAAGGCACAGTGTGCATCCCAAATAAGAGTCATACGCCCAGCCTGGGGAGTGACACTTTATTCTTATGACAGAAGAGCAATATCATTATAACACAAAATGTCCCCAAGGAGGGGAGGAGGAGGAGGAGGGACACATTCCAAAACAGATACCCACAGAGTGGTGGCAGGCAGCAGGATAAAGCCACCARCATTGAACACACCCCAAACTGCTCCTTTCCACTTTCTACAGTCCTGAGGTAACCAAGAGCCCTGAAATCTCGGTGAGGAACCAAAARCATGGCAGTGACTGAGCATGGGGACGGGGGTTTCTGATGGCCAGTTGTGCTTATGCTTGTCTGCTGAGTGATGGCAGACTCAGGTCACTGATATCTTAAAAATAATTGCAACTTTGCTATTGAGTGATGAGCTGTTTGCAAGAGCAAGAGGCTTTCCCTGGGTCCCTGTCCTTGAGGACAAGCCCTTGGATCCCATTAAAAGAGGAAAGCCATGGGCAGGAAGCCCAGCCTCGTGCAGGTTTGTCTGTTTGCTGAAGCCCAGATTTGGGGGATCCTTTTGGGAAGAGCTGTGAATGGTGATGCTGGGGCACCCCAAACCAGCAGTTCCCACCATATTCCCAGGCAGATGCTGAGAATCTGGGTAGTGATGAACACAAGGCCCAGCTCAAAGGCAGGGATTGGGTCTTGACACAGGAGAGCCCTAGGATGGAGCTAGACTTGCCTTCCCACAGGAGGAAAATGATGCTTTTCAGAGGAATTGGTGAGATTTGTGAATCAGCATGAAAGAAGGAAGAAGAAGGAATTCCCTGCAAAACAGAAGCAACCCAACACCACAAACTAAGGATGGTGAACACCAGAACTTTTCCTCTCTACCTCCAGTGTCCTGCCCAGGAGGGCCAAACCCTGCGTGGAGCTGGCAGTGGGACACTAAGCGATGGTCTGGCGGCTGAAGAGGTCCAGGGTGAGGGCRCTGAGGAAGGCTGGGATGCTGTCCTGGCGCAGAAGGTGCAGCTCGATCAGCTCCCGGATGGTTCGGGAGAAYTCCGTCTCCAGGAGCTGCATTTTCCCACCGGAGGAGCTGGAGGCCTGATGGGAAAAACAAGAACAAGGTTTTAATTCACCTCCTGTGACAGAGGAGTGCCACTCTGAAGCATCATTTGGCACCAAGGATGTGCCACCTGTTCCTGAATGCTGYGCTCCAATGTCCCCATGCAGGACCCTGTGAGAGCCATCCCTGGTGACAAATGTGGTGATGGGGACATGAGGGGTGGGACCAGCCTGGAAAAAAGTCTGTTCTGACAAAACAGGGGTGCCCACATCAGTGTCACTGTCACCAACACCACCTGGAGTGGCAGGAGCTCTGCACAAGGGTTTWYTCTTCAYGAAAACATCACCTCTGAAGTCATGSTAATTCYGTAGGARGAAGCAGACCTGTTCCTAATTAACAAAACTCCTTCCCAATGAGTACTGAGCCACCCTGCATCCCTAAAGTGTTAAAATCAGCCTGGCAGCACACAGCCCAAACCTCCAAAGGAACAATTCCAGAGATGCTCTCAAGAAAATAAGGAAACTCAACATGTGGGAAGACATTACAAATCTCCTGTAACATATAAAACAAGCAAAAAAAAAAGCTAAATGCAACAGAAATAAGGAATGCTTGAAGCCTCTCCTGCCCCCGGAGGCACGAAAGCGGCTTGTTTATTAATAAACAACAAAAACATCACAGTGCAAATGCTAATTTTTTTTCCCCTGCCATTTTCCTCTTCAAAATACTCCCWTTCCTAATTGCTTTGCAGCTCTGCTTCCTGTCGGAGCCCAGCTGGGACAGCACAGGCAGTGCCAGGCGTGGCCTGCAGCCCCCTCCTCAATCAAAGGATGCCAAAATCCAAACTGGAGGGTTGCCATGGGATGGGAAAACATGGCTGTAGATGCTGACAGCCCCAGGGACCCTTCCTCCTTCTGATTTCCTGTTCTCAGGAGCCTGGACACATTTGATTATGAACTCTCCACGTTTGGGTCCCTTTGGATTGCGAGGTCCTGAGGATGGCCCCGTCATCCCTGAGCCAGGCAGGGATTCAGAACAAGGCTTCCACATGCAAAAGTGAWTTAGCCTTTTGTTTAAATCTTCATTTTGGCTGGGTTGTTTTCCATCAAATCCCATCCTTTGATCTCCTGCTTGCTGGAGCTACCTGAGGAACCACTGGGCCAGATCAAAGAGGGGARCGATGACAGATGAAGGAACCAGTTGGGGGCACGAAGAAGAACAAAAATCCCAGCTCATGTAAAGCCAGAGGTGCCATGAAATGCTGTGGCAGAAAGTGCAGGAGCTGCACAGGTTTTATTTTGCTAATCCTCCCTGGATTCAGCTGCTGGGGAGTGCCAGCTTTGGAGGAAGGTCCGAGCATTATGAATGCATCGCTTGTGTCTCCAACTCTCTCAGCGCCGAGTTGGATTCATCWGAAATGGGAATTCAAGCTCTGTGTGAAACACACAGCCTCCCTCGCAGATTTAAAACACTCTTTGGGCACAGAATTAATTTTCTAAGAATTTACAAGCAAATCCATTAATTGGTTTACTAGTTTAATTAATTAAAGTAAATTCCTTAAGAAATTTAGCATCCAGTGCCAGACCATTTGCTTGTGTTTTATGACCTCAGAAACAGAGCAACATAAATGTTTTAGATTTCCTCTGCTTTGAGCTCAATGGTGTCGGGGGTAAGAGCTACATTTGAATATCTTCTCTTTTTTTGAGATTAATGGTAGTTTCTCTCTATTACTCTTCATAACCAAAGTTTCCTCCTGCAGCAGAGGCAGAAGAGTTATGTTCAGAGGAARTTACATGGACAAATATGTGCTTCTGAGGAGATTGCTATTTCCCACTGAATTTTCTCAGCTGCCATGGGAGGCACCATCCTCCCCCTCACCCCCATGGCCTCTGTCTCCCCAGGAATGCCAAAAAAAATCAAAGAAAACCCCCAAATGCTTCTAAACCCCAGATATCTCACCCAGGTTTCTTATGATCACTTCTGTAACAGGCACAAGGTGAGAAGGCAGCCACTTGGAAAAAAARCAATTCTTCCTCTGCCAGGAGATGTTTACATGTGAACTTAGAGGATGGATGCATTTGCAGTGCAGCTCATTCAATCTCACACTGCTTTTAAAAAATGAAGAAATTTCTTTTCTTTTTTTTTTCCCTAGGAGTGTTTTAAAATTGCTATCATTGTTACTTTTCTTATTATTTGTTTTTATTGCTTTTTTTTTCTTCACCCATCTGTTCATAATGTAGTATAGACTGGGTTATATAGATAGATTTGCTGCTTTGGGTTCAACAGCGGGAGTACCTCTGCAGCCTGTGCTTTACAAATAAAGTGATTATATGAAATAATAGCAATATGTTCCCATTAATTCACAGGATTTCTTTTCAAAAGGCAGCCTGCACCCTGCCTGCTGCACTTGCTGGCAGAGAGGGAAGTGCCCAGAGCAGGAGCAGGAGGGAGCAGGGGATCAGAGCAAGGCAGGGGATGCCCAGGGGTGACAGSAACACTGATGGGGAGGACACAGGGGGGATGCTCTGTGAAGTGATTGCTGCAGGATYTGGTGTTTCACACCGTTCTGGATCAATGCAGAACATGCCTGTGACTCCRGCTCTAAAAACTGGATTTTTGAAAAGAAGAAAGATGAAATTTCCAGTGGTTCAAGGGCACTCAAGTCCTCCTCTTCATTGTTCATAGCTAGGATTCCCTCCACCCCTTCTAAATTAGGTTTGTTTGTTTTTTTTTAATAAAACAAAAATCTCAACCCTCAAAGGCAAACTCCTGGACACAGCTCTTGTTGACARGAACTTGCAGGTGCCAGCACAAACCAACCATTCACAATGCACTCCATGCAAGGCAATCACCATTCACTCTGCTGATGCATTCCCTAAAACTCCAAGCTTAGATGAAGCCAAAAGCCACCCCAGCCMATCTAGGAATAAAATGCAAGTGTCACTGGTCCATGGGGACAGACCAGAAGTGGGAATGGGGTGGGAGAGACCAGAGTATGTTCAAACCCAGCCCTAACTGCTCTGTGCCCAGCACTCCTGTGATACCATTGCTATAGTGTGCTGTGGGTTTTAAAGAGAAGGGGGAAAGGAAAAGCATCACCTTTTAGAGTTAAACTGAATCCATGGGATCAAAGGCAAAGATGAGTATCCTCATCCACCCCAGAGTCAACAGAGGAGTCAATACAAGAGGACATTTTGGGTACCACCATCACACTTCACTCCCCCCTTTCCCTCTGTGCTGAGCCAGACAGGGGCAGAGCTTCACTAGAGATGTAAATATTCCCTCCTCACCCTCAGTTTCCCTGAGCACAGAGCAGCTTGGGATGCTGCAGCTGAGCACTCTGAGAATACCATCTCCCAGGTATTCAGTACATATTGGTTTCTTCTAATTCATGGTAAAAGTCTGCCTGGCTCGCTAAACTACCCAGATTCAGGTCTCTGTTATGTTTTATTCAGATCTCAAATACTTGCAAAAGGAAAGATTTCAGCTTTTGCTAAGCTCTGTTGCCAGTTCAGTCTGATTTAAGGGCTGTGGGGACCTTTTTTAGAAAAGCAGAGGAAATCACTGTTTGCCCTGCGTTGCTCTGCTGGGRTGGGTGGGATGTGACCCTCATTGTAGGTTTGAAGGGTTTGTCTCCTCTCAGGCTGTGCTACCCCACAGCACATCAGGGGGCAGATCTCTCTGTGTGTTGTAAACCACAACACTCTGGTCTGTTTAACAACACAAACCTGGAGTAGCTGCTCTGAGGAAGGAGCTGTTAGYACAACTGTTTCTTCAGGGGAATCAAGATCAGCAGCCGCCTGCCAGGAGGAAACATCATAAATCTTCCTCTTAACCCTGGAAACCAGTAAATTATTCAAGGCTTTATAGCTTAGATATACATGTAAAAATCTCTCAAATAACCACCAACGTGGTAGGAAAGCGGGTTCTTCTCTCCAACGGGGACTGTCTTGGCGAGGAGGAGCAGACAATGCAGATGATGTGGAGGAACAACAGGAGTTCCTAAATGTCCCTGCTGGGTGATGGACCTGCAGCTGGATGAACCAGGCTCGTAAAACTGCAACATAAGGACTGTAACAGGCACTCTCAACTGCTGCCACTTCAATGTGACACCTACAGGGCTCCTGCCTGCACTGATGGCTCCTTGCACCCGTGCTGCTGTTGCACACAAGCCTCCCCTGAAAGCCAAAACTCAGCATTTCCTTCTCTGCTTCCTCCAGCCCCCAAGGGGGAGATCTGTGAAAAGTGTGACAGTGTCTCCTTTAGTCACTCACAAGCCACCACATGGCTCAGAAGTGCACTTCCAACCAGTTTTGAGTTTCCTGCACACCCATTTCCTCTTCTCTTTGACACATTTTGGTAGCTAAGAACTTAAGCACCATCGGCTATAAACTGGCAGGCAGCGTGACTTTAATCACACAAAGGATGTTTCTTGAAAAACACAGGTTGAGTGTAAGGTCATGCAGACCTGCACACACTGGAATAAGACTGGAAAGAGAGTGGCTGCATTCCCCAAGGAGAGAGCTGACACGGGGATGGGTTATCATGAGAAAGCACTGAGTAGAAATGCAGCAACAGCGAAAAAAGGGCTCCAGCATTCAACACAATTTGAGATTTCAACATAAAGCAAGGATTTYCTACCCCTGATTTTCACACTGAGAAAGCACAGCTGCCTTTGGGGATGCAATCCACGCAGGACACGTGTTCCTGCAACTCCAAACGCACACCTCCAGTGCTGCAGGTGGAGCTCCTGAATGGGTTTGGGCAAGCTGACAACAGGGATGGTGCAGCTTTGTGCCAGGCACAGCAGGCAGGACAGTTGTGTCTCAGCTGGGGAACAAAGGAGGTTCAAACACCTCCACAGCATGGGCAAGGATGAAGCCCAGGGCTTTGGCAGGGCTGCCAGAGCCACTCCTTGGCGTGGTGACAAAGCTTTGCTTTGCAGATGCTGCCTGGCCTTGCTAGACGGCGCTTTCCAAGGCTAAGATGTATTAGGGGTCAAAAGGAGCAAGTGAATCATTGCCTGGTGACATTTACCCAG